CAACAACAACAACAACAATCTCTAGTTTCTTCTTTGCCTTCCGTGAAACACCAGTATGGTCCTGCAAGTGGTTTTCTGGACCCTGATTTTAAGCCCTCAGCATGGATTTTTTTCTTGCTTCGTTTTAGTCACCTTTTGAGAAGAGGAACTTTGCTCCAAAGACTTTGCCCATATTTATTCAAATAACCAGCCTATGGCAGTTAGTCTTCAGTAGCACCCAATGACAGTCGTAATGGCCAGTCACAATCTGCCACAGTAGAAATGGCTGCACAGACGTCCAAGAAAAGGAAAGTGAAACCCTTTGCTGCAGTAGTCCAAGGTCAGAGGGCTGCCTTTAAAGGATTTGCACACAGAATTTCGCTCAGGCCTTACAAATTATTACCGATCTGTTTGGTGGCCTCGCCTGTGGCTTAATTTTCTGCTAATCCACTCTGTTCTGCAAAGTTCTGCAAAACAGCCAGTAGGATCCCTTCCGCTTCCCCCAAACTTCAGAGTAGGTTGTGGAAATGGATCCTGCTATTTGGGAATGCATAGAGAGGTTTAGTAATGGTGCATCAAGATATGTTTTACGCTACTTAGAGTCTTTTTCTGAGGAGTGGGGGAGGGGATATTTCTCCTCAGGAGTAAAATTTCTTTTGGCAATTACAGTATCTAAAAGATGAGATGCAAACATTCAAATGACCAAAGGGGGCAGCAAAGAAATGTAGTTTATCTCTTTACCGCCACCTAGTGGCTGTCTGTAGATCTGCAGCCTAGATCTGTAGCCTGCCAAAGGCTACAATAACAGGTTCTTTCTTCATTGTCCATTGCTTCTCGACTGCAACTCTGGATTAAGCCCACCCACTTCCCCCACCTACCACTATCTTGGATTGTAACATCCATAATTCCCATCCCGCAAGGCCTTTGACCGTGAAATAAGAAATTGGCTGGGTCAGTAGAAACTAAAACGAAAACAGTTCTTTGGGAAGGAAGATGCTTCCCTGAGCAAGTGCTAAGAACAGCAGGAAGCAGAACTTCAGGAAACTAAAATAAAGAGTGGAAAATATCTGTCTCTCGCAGGATGACATCGCGGGGAGGATATATCGCCCTGGGTCGGTACAAAGGAAGCCGGTTTTGGTTTTTTATTTAGGTGCCTGTGTTTTTTCCTGAAAGTGAATTTTCACGGCACAGATTGTTTTTGCAACGAGCGCAGTGGAAAAGGTTATTTGAAGAGGAATTATTGGAGGTAGTGTGATCCAGTGGATATAGCCAAGAGATAATAGAGCTAGAATGGTCCCTTGTGGACTAACTGGGAAATTAACTGATGGCTATGCATCCTTTGCTTGAAACCCTCCGTCATGGGAGACCCCTATTTATTTATTTATTTATTTATTTATTTTCTCCCTGCCCATCTCCCCCCAGTGGGGACTCTGGGCGGCAATTATCAAACCATTCTTGCTGCCAACCTATTTCTTAAAACATTCATTCTCTCACCTTCTTACCGTATTTCACCCCATTAGACCGAATTCTTCATTCTCGGCCACCTCCCATTTGCCTTTCTTTCTCTTACGCCTTAGTTCTTTCATTCTCTTATATAGAAATTGTCCATCCCTGTTCTGGCAATGAGAAGTTCTATGTAAAATACATTTTTATGATGTCCCTTGGGGGAATCGGAGGCTAACCTTATAAGGAAGGCTTCAAGGGCCTGTGTGAGTTTAGCCTAAAGAAGAGAAGACCCAGTTACAGTCTTCCAACACTTGAGGGCTGTTCCAGAGAAGAGGGGGTGCATTTATTCCTCTTGATGCCTGAGGTAGGACAAATACCAACGAGTGGAAGAAGGAGATCCAGACTCAAAATAAGGAGAAATTTCCTGACCACGAGACCCATGAATCAGTGGAACAGCCTGCCCCCAAAGTTGTGGGTGCTCCATCCTTTGAGGTTTTCAAGCCAAGGTTGGAGATCCATTTGTCTGGGATGGTCTGAGGATTCCTGCCCTGGGAAGGGGGATCTCCAAGAATCTCTTCCAACCCTGTGATTCTTTGTAATCACGAGAAATTAAAGGCCACTTTTTCTCTTCGTAGTTATTTGACCGGGAGCTTTGTGTCCGCCAGCTGAGATATTCTGGGATGATGGAAACCATCCGGATCCGCAGGGCTGGCTATCCAATCCGGTACACCTTTGTGGAATTTGTCGACCGGTACCGGGTTCTCATGCCAGGAGTTAAACCCGCTTACAAGCAGGTAGAGAAGAATAACCATACTCATTTAAACAACTATTCTCTTCATCTCTTCAAATCCTTCCCATAACCTGTTTTTTCCCCATGAACCCTTATAATCTACTTCAGCCTTTCCAAAGTGACACGCCTAGTTCCTTTCGTCCCAAATCTGGCTGAAAATAATAACGGTGGCATCTGTAGGACATTGGTTTGGTGCTTCCTGTAAGATGATGAGAATTGTGGTTTGATGTCACCAGCAGTAAATGTGGACTTACTATATCTTCATTCAATCTGATATAGTCAGACATGGGTTAGGGATCCATAGCTAGCTTTAGGAAGTAGTAAAAAATTAAGCACATTCAAATTGTATAAATCCTATTTATCTGGACTTAAGTGAAAGACCTTGGAAATATGAACTTTATGGTGAGGTCGAAATTCTAGGTTCTCTTTTCAACATTCAGGCTATGCTCAAACAACTAATTTGATCAGTGAAAGATCTGGCACTTGCCTTTTGAAAACCATGCTAAGTCTAGTTCGTGTTAATGCTGGTTTGGCCACCAACCCTGTTGTGTGAATTTAACCTTTGGGTTAGTCTGTGAATCAGCATATTGTGTACATCCAGGAAATGAGTTAATTCAGCAACCAGGTTAAACATGGTGCATAAATGCAGCCTTCCAAATAACATTTCTAAGTTTTGCTTTACTTCTATGTGAGTACATATTTTTTTATGCTATGGGAGTTGGCCTTCACTCTTTTGGTGGATTTTACACATTTTAAGGAAGTGGCTAACATTTGAGTAGGGGGATGTTTGTGAACAGGGTTGTTTGAGGGTAGGGTAAAAATGACTCCAAATTGCTTGTGAACTCAATGAGATGCTCCCGCTACCTCCATTGTTGGCTAGAGACATCTAGCAAACCAAGGCTGAGAGGCACTGTGCTCATAGATTCATATGGTTGAAAGGGATCTCAGAGATCATCTAGTCAACCCCTGCTTGGTGCAGACTTTGAAATCTGCCCACTTGTTCCTTCCAGGGGGATCTGCATGGAACATGCCAGCGCATTGCTGAAGCTGTGCTGGGCAAAGATGATGATTGGCAGATTGGCAAGACAAAGATCTTCCTGAAGGTATGGTGGCAGATGATTTCAGAATCAGATGAGATTCCAGGAAGCAAGAACAGATCGGTCCCTGGAAAAAAGAGAGGCCGTGGCCATCACGTAGAGTTCAGTTTCAAGGATGAGAAACGCTGTCTAAGCTTCAGGATTTGTAGGAATGTTCTGGGGATAAATAGTAAGAGGGTAGAGATTTCAACAGAAGAGAATATATGTCGCTCAGGGTTGAACTATGGAGTGCTCGGTGCTCTCTGAACTGGGTATAGATTTTGCAGCTCCTCTGTAAACTGTCCTTCTTGAACTCGGGATCAGCATGCTGCTGGATTTCATCGAAAACAGTGTTTTTCAAACTTAGCAACTTTAAGATGGGTAGTCTCTTCTCTCTTTTGAGCTTAACTCCATTTACAATTCCATGAAAGCTTGAGTCAATCTACATACCCTTATACCAAGCAACCACTGGTTGTCAGAATGGATGAACATTTCAAGCCAAGCGGCCTGAATTCTTCTCAGACTTAAAATGGGACTTTGTGTTCTAGATAGTTCTTCTTCAAATTGTAAAGTTGGAAAGGGCTATTTGGCCCTCAAATCCAACCCACCCCCTTTCCCCCCCTCATTTTGTGCTGTTTCCTCCAATTTCTTGCATGGGGGTATCTTCTGAGGTAGAATTGGATGTTCCCATATTCTTCAAAGCTGAAAAACAGAAATCAATTTATCCATTCCAGCTACAGTCTAATTTGTTGTTTCATTTTGAAATCCAACCCTTATCTAATTCTCAGAGACGCTGATGAAGTCTCCCATTCCAGAAAGTGTTATCAATCCTGCACAGTTGTGTGAGCAGGAAGTTGGGAAATGGACAGGTCAAAAGGTCCACTCAGATAGTTGGCTTAGTCTGGAAACACGTGAGGTTTTATTTTCAGCAATCTGGAAAAGAAACCAGCGAGGAAAAGACAGGAGGAGAAACTCTTTAAAGAGCAGTGTTATTTTCAAAATCCAGAACCCAAGGCCCAGTTTTCTTCATACCCTAAGAATGTGAGAGAACACCCAAGTATCCACTCTGGAAATTGATAACTTTGGCATTTGCATACCATTTGCAGTGATTTTTTTTTTCTGGAATGAAATTCGGGAATTCCATGATTGATTCCAAGATGGATTGAGTTGCTGGTGCTTCCGGTGAGTGTCAGAAATCTCTTGGGTGCTTCAGCAGCAAAGCTTGCAGATCCTTTGCATCTTCAGCTATCAGAGTAGCGTGATCAGCACAGCACAGGCTATCGATGTTTCTTCCTCCAGTTTTAAAACCAGGCTCATCATCTTCAAACCAACTTCCCTTAATATATATTTGGCATCTAGGTTGAATAAATGAGGGGAGAGGATACAGCCTCGTCTCACTCCTTGGCCAACCTGGAGCCAATCTTTTTCATCATGTTCATATTGTACAGTAAGTTTCTCAGGAGGACAATGAGATGTTCTGGGATTCCCATTTTTCCAAGCACTTTCCACAGCTTGACCATTTGATAAGATTCAATCCTTTGTAAAATGCTATCATTTCATTAGAGCAGTGTTTCTCAACCGTGGCAACAATTGCTCATTGTTGAAGGATCTTCTCACTGGTGCTGGGACTATACATTAATGTTTTAAGAATCAGACGTCCTAACTTTGTTCTCTTGTTTTAAGATATATCTGTATACAGCAGTGTTGCTCAACCTAGGCTACTCTAAGATGGGTGACTTCAACTCCCAGAATTCCCCCAGCCAGCATGGCTGGCTGGGAAATTCTGGGAGTTGAAGTCCACACGTCTTAAAGTTGCCATGGTTAAGAAACACTGCATTGGAGAGCTCCCTGCAGAATTCTGAGATTTGGTTACATTCCCACCCAAGATGGAAGAATGTCCTTTTTGATTGTAGTTTTTCTAAATAGGTGTTATATATGAGCTATTTATAGAGGTTAAATGCCAGTGATGTGATAACAGACTCGGGCAGGTCTGGGGAATTCTTATTGACCAATGCACTAATAATGTTTTAAGAGCACGCCTTGCTTGTGAGAAACCAAAACTTTCCATCTCTGTAATATCCCCTCTTTCATTCCTCTCTAATTTTGAAATATAAATGAATTGTTTTTTTATGGCACAGACAAGATGACTGCAAGGCCTTTTTCCCACCATTTAGCTAAGATCTAATCTTGACTAACCCGTAGCTGTATTTTTTTCCCTCAGGATCACCATGATATGCTGTTGGAAATTGAGCGGGACAAAGCCATCACGGGCAAGGTTATCCTCATTCAGAAAGTAGTTCGTGGATTTAAAGACAGGTACCTGGGAAGCTGGCTAATATTTCTTGGTGTGAAATGTAACCTGGGAATCATAATTTGTGCTTGTGGTGGGTAAGGTTGTGTATTTCCAAGGAAGCCTTGCACAATTGCCTTTCTTCTGTGTGTCATGGATAGGTTAAACATGATTTTAGAACTCAACAAAGTTGCTAACCATCAAAGTTTATCCTGGTTCCTCTGTGTGTTGAAACAGAAAAGGAGTAGACTGCATTCTGTTATGGATAAAATTCAGGTGCCCCCCCAATCACCCCATAAAGCAGCAGATGTTGGGAAAATATATATGAGTCTCAGCACTTTTTAAAATATTAAAATATTGGCTAATCAGGAGGTTCCTAGCTGAGCCTGTCTAGAATTTTTTTATTTTTCTCTTAAAATGTTCTATCCTTCCCTGCCCTGTCACAACACAGTGTTTAATCTCAAGTCAATGTGTTTGGCATCATGGCAGCAGAAAGAAAATCTGTGTTATTCCTCTTGTTACGGTGGTGCTATTACCAAAGTGAATTTAAAATGTGAGTTTGTATGGGCTCAGCCCATCTTTTCCTTTGGTTCTTTTGTTACAGCAAGTCAGGGTCATTGGAAATCATGACAAAGCTTGATTGGTTGTGGGCAAGAAAAGAAAAAAATATTATCTTGACCTAGCCAGGGACCCTGCCTCACCTGACCGTAATTCTTTGGTAGAATTTTTAAAATAAAAAACCAGCGAGAGGGAAAGTTGCATGAAAAATTAGCCTCTAGCTTCTAACTTGTCAAGAATGTCTCTGAGTCCCAGATGTTCTTAAAAGCAAAAGTCAGTGCTTTGTTTGAAGATGTCTAAGGAACCATAGCTGTATAGGTCAGGACTATTTTTATTGGCACATAATCTTGCAAGTCTGAATGCACTTCCCCCTCCCTCCCTTTATCTTCATGAGAACTAGGGAGGGCTTGTCTGAGATGTTTTCTCATGGTACTTTCTTGGCCTGGGCTCAATCCCTGCTTATCTGACCATTGCTTGGTAGCAGCTCTTCCTCCTGTCTTTCAAGGCCATTCCCTATGCCCTCTACCAGGAGGGCTCCCCTACCCAGAAAAATAGACAAAAGTAAACCAGGTAGGGGGGGAGGCTACAGCAATATTTTTCGAACTAGGCCACTTTAAGATGGGTGGACCTCAATTTCCAGAATTCCCCAGCCAGCCATGGGGAAGTCCACCCATCTTAAAGTGGCCAGGTTTGAAAAACACTGGACTGGTGGGAGTGATGGCCCATGGGGCAGCCAGTTTTTAAATAAGTTCCTGCATGGTGGAAACTATTTTGTGAGAGTGCCAGAGAACATGTTTGGAATTCCAGATGTTCCCTCTTGGGGATGGTTCAAGAGATAGGAAACTCCATTTCCTCAAGGAGGAGCCCCAAACTCTCAGCCATCGCTACCATGGAATCAGATACTCAAGCAAGCCAGGTTCCATATTGAAATTACATACCCAAAGCTCCAAATTTCACATGCCATGGGACAAACATGCCCTGGCTGTCTCTTTTATCAGTCATGTACCCGTGAGGTTGCCCATCTCCTCTCCAGCTCATAAGTGAGAGAGGCTTAAGTCATCCTGAGCTGTGATGCGGTTAATTGATCCTTTCCCCCAGTAGCTTGACATCATCTGGACAACCTCAAGGTGCATGAAATTGGTTAGCCTCCGTCATCTATTATCTTGGAGGAAAATCAGCACAGTGGGAGCAACGGGACAGAGGCGATCAGCATCGCAATGTGGGCTATATACTTTTCAAATTCACTTACTGTTATTTCAAGAATGGGGGGAGAGAACTATAAATGGGGAAAGGTCCTAAGTTGCTTTTGCAGTCAGGAGGCCAACAACTCAATATGATTTCCAACTGGGCTTTCCTGCTCTTAATCAAACTATGATTTGTTTTTTAGTGCCAGGACACCAAAGGTCTGATAGAGGCCATGTCCCGACATTAACAATAGCCTAGGAAATCTCCTTTTTCTGCTCCATCCCCACATTTTTGCTTTGCTCTCATCCTCAGCTCCAGGGTTAACTCCTTAATTAAACCAGAGTTGAAGGAGTCTTTTCTTCTTCATTCCAACTCCATCCAAGGGCAGCCTCGAGGTGTGTAAAACCTTTCAGGTTTTCTCACCTACAGTATTAATTTGGAAAGCAGTCTGGGGAGTGGGAGTAACTGGGGAGAGAGGCAATAAAAGCAGGAGAGGGATCCAGACTGGCATAGTTTTTTTTTAAATCCAGATTTCCTGGATAGAGAGCATGACAGTTTAGTGGTAGGGACATTACTTAGGGGCTGCAGGAAGCCCAAACAAACCAGATACTTGTAGAGAGTAAGGAAGGTGACCTTGATGGAGAGGTGCAGGAACCATTACCTAGGCAAAAGGGGTTGAAACCTTTTTTAACTCCTGAGAAACCAGATAACATTCAGAAGCGACTCAAACAGACACCTCCCTAATTCACAGCAGCACAAGAAGGGGGAAGAGGTCCAGCACAATCAGACTTGCAAGATTCTGTTCTTATAGCCCATCTCAGTAAAAGCAGTTTTTGCCTTCCTATGGAATTGATTTCCTGGTCTCGTCGTCTTCGTGAGGCTGACAATGCTCCAAGCTGATGCTTCACTTTGTAGCATGTCCATGTCCTTTGATTTATTTACTTAAAATTGAAGCAATTGAATGATTGAAAACTGGTAGGGAAGAACAACTGGTAAATGCCAAGAGACTGTCAATTTCATGCAGGTACAGGTGGTCCCCGGGTTAAAAACGCCCAGGTTACAGATGACCCATCATTAAGAACAGAGCCTACTGTAGCAAAATTCGAGTTAAATACACAATGGTTAAAGTTAAGTACACAATGGTTTGACTTCATTACACAATACTACTTTTACAGTATTATTTGATAATATTGTTCCCACTTACATACAAATTCGACTTAAGGACAGATCTTGGGAACAGAACTTGTTCTAAACCTGGGGAATATCTGTATAGTATTCTGCCTGCTCGGGGCAGGGGGTTGGAGGGATAAATGTCCTTTCAACACAGCAGTGGGGAAAAGCTCTAACTCTGGTATAAAGCAAGTTTGGACAGCATTTGGGAGTCTGAAAGGAAGTAAACTTTGTCCTAATTGAAGTCCCTGATAAGAGACTCTTGCTGAGTTGAGAAAAAGAAGAGTCATCTAAGAAAGAATTACAGTCTTGCGGAAGGTGCCTGGGCAATGCTTTCTGCTAACTGACATTTACTTTGCACATATAATTCGAGGGCATGCCAAGATGACCTTTGAAATGTTGACGTTGTAACGAGCCAAAAGACCATTTTTAGGGGAAGAGCTCTTCCGCACACTTCTCGGCAGAAGGCCGCTTTGATGAATTTTTCCCTGCAACGAGGAGGAGGATTCTTAGAAGCAATATCTGCAGGGAGCGAGGAAGGGTTTTTAAAAAGCCAAGTTGGGGGCTCCAACTGTGACCTTGAAGCTCTGCACCATTTTTGGTGCATTGCTTGTGCAACATGTGTTAAAAGGGTCAAGCTTTTGATCATGCGGCCGCGGCTACCATCTTGACTTTCTTGACCACCTTCCTCGGAACGCTTCGGATCCTAAACCAAACAAACTTCGATTCTGCAATTCATAAGCTTAGCCTGTTTGTCAAGAACTCCAGTTTCAGTGCCTATGTCTTCTTTTTCCCCATAAAAAAATAAAACACTTTATTGTCGGGTGCTCTGGTCTTCTCTGAGCTCGGTTGTGTTCCTGCAGACGTTTCCTTACCTGACTAGGTAACCTCATCAGTTCATCGGGGAGTGGAGTGCTGGTTGCTAAGCAGTTAAGCGGGAAGCAGCAGCGGATAAAAACCCCATCCAAGGAGAAGCACATGAAAAAGATATTACCATTTTCTTTCCAGATCCCGTTTCCTGAAAGTGAGGAATGCAGCGCTGATGATTCAACGGAACTGGAGGGGCTACAACTGTCGACGAAACTACGAGGCTGTAAGTATGTCGCTGAGATCCTATCTTTTGCCTTCGGCTGCTAACATATCTTTTTTACAGAACAGCAGTGTTGCTCAACCTTGGCATCTTTAAGATGGGTGGACTTCAACTCCCAGAATTCCCCAGCCAGCCATGCTGGC